GTGTGTGAGGAACTAAGAACAGAATGGAGATTATAAGTTTTTAAACCAAAAATATGGTTTGCAGAACCTTTTACGTAATGAGATGAGTTCAAGAAATATAACGCCATAAACACAGTACATACACTAGAGGGAATGATCATATTAGTGCAGCGACCGTCCACTATTAAAAAAAATCATATGAAAAATTCATAATTACAATCAGTAGCAAAATGACGTTGAAAAGTGCTTGGTTAACAGATATAATATGACTGTTGACTTTACATTACTGAAACAATTATTGCAAAAATATGTATATACAAGATTTTCAGAGTCAAAATTCAAATGCGTGAGTGAGTGAGACTTTAATTAAGCTCAACTAGGAGACATTATTTCAGGGCCAAGCTTCAGTTGTGACAGTAGACAGGTCAGAGTGTAAGAACATGTGATCAGTATGAGACTTGCGGGAAAACCCAAACTGATTACCACCAACGACAGAATACCCAGGTTAATTTGTCCTCGGAAGTGATGTAGCCTGGAATTTGTTAAGAGTTGAATGACCCAGGAAACATACGCCTCACTTCATCCCACCCGTTACACCTCTCTCCCATCATCACTTTACCTCTCATACCTCTCTCCCAATTACCCCAACCATCACACCTCTCTCTCCCCATCACCCACCCCACTCTCACACCTCTCCCTATCACCCACCCCTCATACCTCTCTCTCCCCATTATCCCACTTCTCACACCTCTCTCTCTCCATCACCCCACACCTCACTCTCCCCATCACTCCACCTCTCACACCTCTATCTCCTCATTACATCATCCCTCGTGTATTGACCACAGTCATACTTGTTAGTTAACGTAAAATCAGATGATCCATATTACGCTAAATAGCCCATAAAACGTGTACCTGTAACTTTTTTTTATTGAGTTCCCCATTTAAGACGTCCGTTTTCTCAACTGCTTCAGTAGCTGAGACGCTCGTTTTCTCTCATGTGTTTCAGAATCTCAGTATCGTATGTTCACAGTGGCGTACCGTGGTTGCACTGATGAGGCATGCAGAACACCCACATATATCAGGAATCATATCAAATATTAAGTAGGATATGGCCTTTTTCTAAATAAGGGTTGTCAAGCTTTTATTAAAACCTAATTTCTTAAATTATATTATGGCATCTGACAAATTATCTATTATAAATCATTATTAAATAGTGGTGTAAAATACTTCCGGCAAAAGAATATTAAGCTTTCATTGTGATCTACAGTAATTTAGAAATAAATTAGTTAAAAAATGACTAATCATCATGCATAACGCTGGCCCTATGTAAAGTTGCCAATGATCTTATTGATAAACATTTAAAACTTTTTTTTTTTTATTGGGCACTCCCCTACATCCTGTGTAAGGTGAAGCGCAGAAGCGTTTACAGCGCCCAACAGGGAAGCATGCTAAGTTCATGCTTGCCTTTTATGTCTTATGAGTTAAGGGCGTAGAAGCATGAAGAGTCAAGGGCGTAGAAGCCTGAAGAGTCAGTAGTTTATGTCATCAAGTTATTGGAAGCTCCAACAACTCCCTGAATACGAATTCGCAACTTTCGACTTGCAACAGGTACCTACTTTACTGCTAGGTGAACAGGGACTAATGGGGGCGAGGAAATCATTTAATACAGTGCTGTGGAAATGATTATAGCACCGTGCTGAGGTGCTGATTTAATACAGTGCTGTGGAAATGATTATAGCACCGTGCTGTGGTGTTGATTTAATACAGTACTGTGGAAATTATAGCACCGAGCTGTGGTGCTGATTTAATACAGTGCTGTGGAAATGTTTATAGCACCGTGCTGTGGTGCTGATTTAATACTGTGCGGTGGAAATGACTATAGCACCGAGCTGTGATGCTGATTTAATACTGTGCTGTGGTGTCGATTTAATACTGTGCTGTGGAAATGATTATAACACCGAGCTGTGATGCTGATTTAATACTGTGCTGTGGTGTTGATTTAATACTGTGCGCTGAAAATGATTATAGCACCGTGCTGTGGTGCTGATTCAATACTGTGCTGTGGTGTTGATTTAATACTGTGCTGTGGAAATGATTATAGCACCGTGCTGTGGTGCTGATTCAATACTGTGCTGTGGAAATGATTATAGCACCGTGCTGTGGTGCTGATTTAATGCTGTGCTGTGGAAATAGTTATAGCACCGTGCTGTGGTGCTGATTTAATACAGTGGCGAGCCGATTTATTTCCGTGCTGTGGTGCTGATTATAGCACTGGCTTGTGTGAACCATACCGCACCGTGCTGATGAAAATATAATACTAAGCTGCGATGACCAAATATAATACTAAGCTGCGATGACAAAATGTAATACTAAGCTGCGATGACCAAATATAATACTAAGCTGCGATGACCAAATATAATACTAAGCTGCGATGACCAAATATAATACTAAGCTGAGATGACCAAATATAATTCTATGCTGTTATCTATCTATCTATCTATATATATATATATATATATATATATATATATATAATATATATATATATATATATATATATATATATATATATATATATATATATATATATATATATATATAAAAAACAATATGTGTGTTCGTGTGTCCGCACGAGAATCTCGAACTACTTTACCGATCTGTAATGATGATGGATGGTGTTATATGTAATGATGATGGATGGTGTTATATATAGTGATGATGGTTGATGCTATATGTAGTGATGATGGGTGGTGTTATATGTAGTGATGATTAGACAATAAAATATTAACAGTTTAATGCTAAAAAATATACTTTGCTGTTACGTTGTAGTGAAAAACATGGTGGAACTTACATACACCGTTAATGAACTATTGATGGAGGAAGAAGTTTTGGGGACTGAACAGTGAGACAATGTGGAGCCTCCCGGAGGGGTCTCCTACCGTGGCCTAGCGAATGAGCCGCCCGTCTGTTTGTGGGTGGGTTTGTTTGTTTGCTTGTTCGCAGGAGAATCTCGGAAACTACTTTACCGATCTGTAGTGATGATGGAAGGTGTTATATGTAGTGATGATGGATGATGTTATATGTAGTGATGATAGATGATGTAATATGTAGTGTTGATGGGTGGTGTTATATGTAGTGATGATGGATGACGTTATATATAGTGATGATGGATGTTGTTATATGTAGTGATGATGGGTGGTGTTATATGTAGTGATGATATGCAGCAATGAAGGCCTATGGAGAATTTTTACTTTTTTCCTTACACGAACGATGTCCAACAGTAGTTCATCTGGCTGTTCACCTGGAAAATGGACAAAGAGTACACTTCACAGAAGAGTCCCTCCAAAATCAAATGGCAAATCCTGCTGATACGACCCTCACTGCATTCTTTAAGCTTTCACAGGAAGCTTGAGTTTGCTCAAATACTCCTATATGTTGATGTACCCAAGTTCTACATATGGCAGGCTTCAATGAAAAAGTTCCAGAGAAGAGCTAAAGGATCCGATGTTGTAGGATATCAGGGATAAAGTCAGGCAATGCTTTGGGACGTGTCTACACGGTTCACCCCAAAAACTTTGAATGCTATTGTTTGAGACTACTTTTCACATCCGTGGCTCAACATCATATGCAGCACTCAAGACAGTGAGTGGACAAGTCTGCAGAACTTATCAGGAAGCGTGCAATCTCCTTGGCCTACTGTAAGATGATGGTCACTGGAATGACACATTAGAAGAGGCAGCAGCTACTCAATCGCCAATGAGAATGAGGAACCTGTTTGCCATCATGATTGCTACATGTGGACTTTCCAACCCAAGCCAGCTCTGGAAAAACCACCAAGAAAGTCTTTCAGAGGATCTGCGTAATCACGCAAGAAGAAAACATCCTAGTCAAGAGATTGAGTTCATGGATGACATGTTCAACAGGGCTCTGATCATGCTGGAGGACAAAATGATGGAGCTATGCGGAAAAAACCTGACAGATCTTGGATTGCCTTCCCCAAACTGAGAAGAACCAGTAGTTGCAAACAGGGAGTTGCTTAGAGATATAGACTACTCAGTTGAAGTTCTGGTGAATTTTCTTGAAGAAAATGAGCCTCACCAGGTGCCTGATCAAGCAAATGTTTATGAACAGATCTTGCAAGCGATACAAGCGGAGCAGGGAGGTATGATCTTTCTCGGTGCACCTTGTGGGACAGAAAAAACATTACTGATCAACCTTCTGTTGGCCAAAGTACGTCAACAGGGGAAAATTGCTCTTGCTGTGGCATCCTCAGGCATTGCTGCAGCACTACTAGAAGGAGGACGTACTGCATGGAGAGTTTCCGGGGGTACTGGATTTCTAACTCCACAAGGGGCGAACATAATCACCTGTAAGCTTGTAGGTTCTATTCAACGGAAATATACAGGGTGCGCTTACAAGCACAGGTAGTCCTACACTCCTATATGGGTCCTTCAGCCTCACTCTCTCTGACCTCTCAGGCGACATGTGGTAAACAGTGGTTACTAACAGCTTCAGATGTCGCCAGGCACATATCTAAGCGTGTGGTGACATGAAACAGGGGCATTGCCACACGCTACTGACTAGAAGAAATAATGTGTATATATAGAGTATATACATAGTATACACTTTATATACATAATATACACACCTCCCCTCCCCTATACGCTCATAGCAAAGTCTTGAGCGGACCTTTTCTATGGATCCGTTGAGCAATGAAACACTTCACTTGGGGGATATCAGACTCCATGAGACAGGGTCAGCGGGATGAGTTACAGGGCGAAACGGCGGTTCCTCCACCACCCGACCGCTGGTAACCGCACCTGGTAGTCCCATGACCGCGAGACCCATGACGCCCACTTTGATATTCCCAACGTAGGGAGGTCGGGTCCTGGACACAGACAGGTGCCGACCTCAACCTGGGGAGAGGACGGGCGTGGTCGTCGTGGCCCGGGCGACGACGTGGAACCTGCGTTCGGCGGCGCCGGCGATCAAAATCCTCTGTGTCTTGGCCTGCTACTCGCCAGAAGGATTGAGGTGAGCAGGGACACAAAACGGAGGAGGCGTCCATACAAGATGCCTGGGCGGGGCGTCGGTGTGGTGGGTGTTGTGTTGCGGAATCGGGAGACCCTGGTCGAAGGCCTCGCAGTCAATAATTCCCCAGGGGCCACTTTGAAGATGGGAACTAGCTGGGGATTTGACAGCAACATCAGCGTGGCCGTTGGACTGTGGGTAATGGGGCGGGTGTCAGCACATACCGGACTCCCCATCGGTCGAGGAACGCAGCAAAATCGGCTTGTGAACAGGGCCTCCGTTTGGTTTGCAGGCACGCAGGAACGCCCTCGTAACGGAAGTGAGTAGCGGAACTTGCTGATGGTGGCGGTAGATGTAATATCCTTACCGCACTTGGTATCCGCTCCAGCCAACCAGAGGGCGGTCGACGATAACCAGGAGAGGACTCTCTGACACACAGAAAAAAGTCGGCCGACACAGACTCAAAGGGGCGGGTGAGGGTTGGTAATCACTCATGAAGGGTTCCTGCTGCTGGCTGGGTTGTAGTACGTGGCGGGGCTTACACACCTGGATGACATTGGAATGTCGGGGTCGATGCAGGCCGGAACACAGTCTGCTTGCACGCCGTTTGGGCCTCAGCTCCATGGTGACTGTCGTGGGGAGGCAGGCAAAGGCGTGGGGACGTGGCTTAACAAGTGCAACTACCGAAGAGGAGAGGTGTCGCTGGCCAAGAGGTAAGGAGTAGGGCGGCAGCAGGGTAGTTGCTGCTCCTTCAGTACCCCTGTTGGCGTATTTTACCTCGAGAATCGGTGTTTGGGAAGTTCTGGGAGATGATGGCCAACTCTTGGAAATGTCTGTGGGACAGCAAAGGAGTCGCGACGCCATTATGCACGTCAATCCAGGCTTGACATGACCTGTTTACCCAAAGTGATCTGTGCTTGGGTGAACCTAGGGGCTGGGGACATCTGAACCATTGCCGTGACGTGGAGGTCCTTGAGGAGGCTGTCCTAGATCGCTTGGAGAGAGCCCAAGTATTGCAAATGCTAGGGATCGTGTGCCGCCTCTGCGCCGGTGTTGGGCAGCATCTCAAGATTGGGATGACACGCTGCCATAGGTCAAGATGACGCTGACGTGCTGGGGGGACTTTGGTCCTGGGACGCGAGAATTACACCCTCCTAATATGGGTCGGGCTTTGTCAGGGTCGTCGTGCCTCTGATTTGGAGATTGTGGGCAGCCCTCACTGGTGGAAGGCGCTGCTGCTTCCGCCGACGCTGTCCCTTAAGGTTGTTGGTCGGACAGCACTTGTTGTAGTGGCCCAGACGACCACACGTGCACGCACTGGAACGCGTTTGGCTGGGCACACGTACTGTAAGTGACCAGTGGCCCTTCCACCGGTCACAACTGTCGCAGGTAGACTCAGCGGCTGGACATACCTGTGTTCCGTGCTGCCTACCACAGCTGTTGACTTGCAAAGGGGCCGGGCGTGGTGGGCATAGGCGTTGGGGTGGGCTTCTTGTCTTTCTTGTATTGGGGATATAAATACGGCTGTAGGGGGGGCGCGGATGGCAGATGTAGCACACCTGGCAGCCTCATGGGCAACATGCATCAATACATCCTTAGAGGAGGGAAGGGTTGAGGGGAGGTGAGGTGTTGGACAAGCTCCTCGTCATATCACCCATCAGGATCACCTGCTTCCAACTGGGTCTCAACTGCACTGCTGGTGATTACCGGACATATGTCTATCTCTTCTGAGGCTCTCTTGGGTTGTACATGCGTCGCGTCAAGAAGTCTCGCCCTCCATCTGTCACAGCTAAACACTTCCTCACCATGGAGGCTTTGTTCCGCTGACCTTTGATGTGCCGTTCTAGAACATCCAGTACCTCCTCTACAGACAACAAAGAAGTCAGGGGCACTTGCAACGTGTGTTCCTAACACATTCCCAAAGACCAGCACCTGCAGCCAGCTGAATGGTTGTTTGGTCTGTGGCAAGCTCTGGAGGTCCACCATTGTAGCATAATCAGGTCCACCGTCGCCACCACTCCCGAAAAAGTCTGGAAAGTCTCATAAGGCTTCAAGGTGGGTGGGGGTTGGATATTTCCCTTTGGTAGAGGTCGTTGACGAGGTGATATGAGCCAATCGGTACCTGAGTAGTGGAAGGGCCAAGGGCTTGATTAGCGATGAGGCTAGATATCAAGAAGCTGCAAACCGTTCGTTATCTTCAAATCTCCTTTGGTGGTCCTCAGCATGTGTTTTGTTTCGTCCTGACGCCTCTCCTCCCTCTTGGCTTCATCGCCTTAATTATCTCTCTGAGGGCGAGGCTGAGGGTCAGAGGTGTGTGGCTGGGGAGGGTGGGGCGTCGCTCACTGACTGGTTGTATCCATCTCTGTAGAGCTGTCATCCGTCTGATTCGTCGGGCGCTAGGGACACCGCTGCGTGAGGTCCAGAGCGTAATTACTTTATCTGTATATTGTATCTCAAATCAGTGTTTGAGCCCTGTCAATACGTGTATCAACCAGATCTGAGACAACAAAATTAATTGAATACTGGTGCTAACTTATATATATATAAAATATATATGAAGAAATGACCACAGTCAATTGTGTGTTCGTGCGTGGGTTGGTGTGTGGGCAGGTGGAAGGAGGCGAGGCGGTGGGGGGGTGTGACAGTGAAATTGAGTTTGCCTTGGGCCAGCCTGGGACAGTGGCGCACCACTCTCTAAATGCCCTATATCAGCCTTCCACCTAAGGAATCATGCAAGCTAAGGATACACTTTAACACTACACACACACGTGGGGCACTGAAGACACTTCTAGGAAATGCGGTCACTGCACACTGCTCCAAAAACTCGTTGGTCATTCAAACGAATTTTGGGAGACAATGGCGACGGATGACGGAGTTGACGGAGGGTCTACCGGCCTTGATTTTACACTAACGCACTTATTTCCACTTAATCGATCGCCAGTACTCCTTTCGCCATGGAGATGTTAAAATTGCCAGGTCTAACTACAAGGGGGCAGGCATAAACACCTGTAAAATTTTGTAGGTTCTATTCAGCTGATATACAAGGAATTAAACACAAGCACAATTAGTCCCTGGAAATATACAAGGATAAGCTTACAACACAGGTAGTCCTACACTGCACACTCAACTTTTAAACTGCCTCTTAACCTTACAATAATGAGAATCCAGTGTAAACATCAAAATGGATCGGCAAAGGCAAAACTCTAGAAAATGCAACTCATAGTCTGGGATGAATGCACTATGTCCTGACAAGTTAGCATTTGAAGAATTCGACAGGCCTTGCAAGACATAACGAGAAAATGACCACTTATGGGTGGCATTACAATGGTCATTGCTGGAGACTTCGCCAGACCCTACCTGTCATTCCTCAAGCACTCCAGCTGATGAACTGAATGCATGCCCAAGGCATCAAACCTTTGGAGAAGTGTTCAGACACTCACCCTATCCACAAACATGAGAGAACATGTACAAGGAGATCAGTGCTGACGGTTTGCAAACATTCTACTACAGATTGGGAATGGAACTGTCCCTGTTGATTCAGAAGGACAAATAATCATTCCTCAGGATGTGGAAATGTTGGAAAGTCCTCAACTGAGCTCACTAACATGGGTTCACCCAAACATTATCCACCATTTCAAGATCTCAAGTGATCGTGAACGCAAGGCAATTCTGGCACCAAAGAATGAAACAGTTGCTGAAATCAACATGACTCTACTCAGACAGCTTCCAGGCAGTGAGACATTATTCAAATCTGTTGATACAGTAATCGACCAGGACCAAGAAACCAGTACCCTGCAGGAATTCCTTACTTTGGAGCCCGCTGGAATGCCTCCTCACCACCTCACTCTCAAGATTGGAACCTATAATGTTCTTCAGAAATCTTGAACCACCAATCCTCTGCAATGGCACAAGACTGTTATGGTGAAGAACATGATGCCACATGTACTGGAAGCTACAATACTGACAGGAAAAGCTAAAGGAGAGGACGTTTTTTATACAAAGGATACTTCACTCCACCACTGACCTGCCATTTGAGTTCAAGCGACTTCAGCCCCGGTTAAAGTGAGCTTTGCCATGACTATCTACAAAAGCCAGGGACAGTCCTTAAAGATGGTTGGCCTAAACCTGGTGTTTCCTTGCTTCTCTCATGGACAGTTCTATGTTGGATGCTCTAGAGTGGGAACAGGCAAAAATCTGTACATAATTGCTGCTAACGGCAAAACCAAAAATGTGGTCTACCTTAATGTACTACAGTGAGACAATGTGGATCCTCCCGAAGGGTGGCGTCCAACTGTGGCCTAACAAAAAAGGCGCTATATATATACAATCAACACCTCAACCCGCCAAGATTCGAACCCTCGGCCCACGAGCCCATGACTGTGACCGGGAAACGCTACCTCTGGACCACCAGGATACTAAAAGCAGTCCTAGACTTTGTTATATTTCACAAAGCTTGTTCAACGAGCTTATGGCGCCGTGAACCTCTAATGGGGACTACCCGGATCATGTAGGTGGTCAGAGTAACGTTTTACCACCGCTTCAAAACACGAGATCCATATATATTTCATTAGCCCAATAAAGCAAACGGACTTCTACATACAATCAACACCTCAACACCCCAGGATACGAACCACCGCCCACAAGCCCATGACTGACCAGGGATCGCCACTTGGACCGCCAGGATACTAAAAATCAGTCCTAGACTTTGTTATATTTCTTCACAAAGCCTGTTCAACGAGCTTATGGCGCCATGAAACTCTAATGGGACTACCCGGATCATGTTGGTGGTCAGATTAACGTTTACCAAATCTGGCTTCAAACACGAGGATCCATATATATTTCATTAGCCCAATAAAGCACGCGACTTCTACATACAATCAACACCTCAACATGCCAGGATACGAACCCACGGCCCACGAGCCCATGACTGACCGGGGAACGCCATCTGGACCGCCAGGATACTAAAAGCAGCCCTAGACTTTGTTATATTTCACACAAAGCCTGTTCAACGAGCTTACGCCGTGGAACTCTAATGGGGACTACCCGTATCACAGTCATGGGCTCGTGGGCCAGGGTCCGAATCCTGGCGGGTTGAGGTGTTGATATTATGTAGAAGTCCTCGTGCTTTATTGGGCTAATGAAATATATATGGATCCTCGTGTTTCGAAGGGGGATTTGGTAAAACGTTACTCTGACCACCTACGTGATGTCTTTAATGCAGGGAGATGAAGATAGCGAGGGAGTGACGAGCCCTGGGAGCCAACCAAAGGAGATTGGGCTCTAGTGCTGGGTATGGAAGTTTAACAGGCTGCTAAAGCCAAGCGGCATGGTTGTTATAATCATGGTCGTGGTTGTTATAACCATGGTCGTGTTGTTATAATCATGGTCGTGGCTGTTATACCGGCGGCCGTGGTTGTTGTAATCATGGTCGGTTGTTATAATCATAGTCGTGGTTGTTATAATCATGGTCGTGGTTGTTATAATCATGGTCGTGGTTGTTATAATCATAGTCGGGTTGTTATAATATGGTCGGGTTGTTATAATTATGGCCGTTGGTTGTTATAATCGTGGTCGGTTGTTATAATCATGGTCGTGGCTTTTTATAATCATATTCGTGGTTGCTATAATCATGGTCGTGGTTGTTAAGGTAATCATAGTCGTGGTTGTTAAAATCATGGTCGTGGTTGTTATAATCATAGTCGTGGTTGTCATAATCATGGTCGTGGCTGTTATAATCATAGTCGTGGCTATATAATCATGGTCGTGGTTGTTATAATTGCGATCATGGTTGTTATAATCGTGTCGTGGTTGTTATAATCATGGTCGTGGTTTTTATAATCATATTCGTGGTTGCCAGTAATCAT